TTCCTTCAGGCTGAGCCCCAAACGCCGGCAGGATGGTCCCAAGGGCAGCAGCGCCCGCTCCAGCCGCAGCCCGTCCTCCCCCTCGCCCCAGCGCTCGGCCTCGCCGCACCAGAACGGGCACAAGGGCAGCGCCCAGAACGGCCGCCACAGCCACGGCGCCCCGCTCCCGGAGCCCTCGGATGTACGTAGGCTTTTCTTGGATCACTCTTCGCTTCCCTCCCCTCCTCCCTCCACAGGACTGCCCCCCTGCTCTCCTCTCCCCTCCTTCCCCGCTCGCTCGGCTCCCCGCCCTGCCCAGCCGGAGCACTCGGGGGAGATGTGGGGTGCACGTTGCACCCTCCCAGCACTCACCGGCCCCGCGCTGGCTGCGCCAGCTCCCTGGGGGAGCCAGCCCGTCACCCTGAGGCAGGCATCAGGGCAGCCAACAGCTCATCCCTCCCCCAAAGCCACACGTGGCCCTGCGGATGTCACCCCCCCGGGATGATGGCTTGGCAAGCCAGCATCACCTGCCAGGGTCACCACCGGGCTCTGCAGCTCCCTGAGATTGATCCCAGGCAGCCAAGAAATGGGCAAAGCAGGAAGATTCTTGTTTGCCCACTACCCCAACTCTCCCTAGTGCCAAGGGGCCGGCACCTGTGCTCAGGACCCCAACACCCAGCCTGGCCAGGTTAGGGTTTGCAGGGGATTTGATGCTGGATGCTCATATTTTAGGACCTCGAGGTCTCCATGGCAGGTGACATTGCAGCTGAGCATCCCCAGCTCTGCCTCAGCATTCCAAGGGTCTTTGTGAAACCTCGGGGACTGCTCCCCTGAATGGGGCAAAGCCCCAGTTTAACCAGTGCTGGGATGGTGAGGAGCCTGCTTTGGCTAAGGGGGGGCTGGAGGCAGGGCTGAGTGAAGGCACTGCAGAACTCCACTAATGGGGCCCACACGGGTCCCCACTCATCCCAGGGAACTTTATTCCCACAGGTGATGTCCTGCGGGGACACTCCTGGGCTGCCAGCACCCAACACTGACACCCCAACACCTGCAGGGCCAGGGGCACCCCGGAAAACGGGGCCAGGAGCCCCCAAGCCCGCATCCACATCCCCTCCCCAGCCCAGCACCCCCCAGCAGCACCCAGCACCCTGCCCACCTCTCGGGGCACCTCTCTGCTTTCTTCTTTCCTGTGGTTTTGGCTGGGGCTTGGGGGGGTTCGGGTGCCGAGGAGCCGCCCCCCAGGCGCCCGGCTCGCCCCGCTCGCCCCCTGCCCACCCCAGCATCGCCCAGGCCGTCGAGCTCCCTTGGCTCCCCGGCACCAGCGGGACTTTTCTCCAACAACTTTCTCTCTTTCTCTCTTTCTCTCTCTCTTTTCTTTCTCTCTCTGGTTTCTATTTTTTATTTTTTTTTCTTTTTAATCCCATCTGTGTTTTTCTTTAGCCTCCCATTTGAAAAAAACCCAAACGGTAATATACACTTCCATTTCTTGCTCAGCAGAAGCAGGGACGAGGGGGAGGGAAGGGCAATGAAACGTGCTTTTTTTCCCCGCCCCCTTGTTTTAGTTTCCTTTCTCATGATTTCTTTTCTTTTCCCTTGTGATGTACAGAAATGCAAACGATATTTATTTCTCTTATTTTTATTTCCCGCCACCCCGTCGTCGTCGTGTTGTTCTAGAATTTTTTGCTTTTGTGTGTGTTAATGTGGAGAAGAAAAAAAAAAAAAGAACCAAAACAAAAACTAAAACCTGATGTGTTTTCTAAATATTTATGACCGCTGAACATTGTATTTCCATTTTCTATATTTTGATCAAGGAATTTAAAAGGGAAGAGAACCCAGCAGCTCTACACTGCAAAGGAGCGAATTGTCCTTTTCCTCCTCAAATTCGCAAATTCCCGGTGTCCTCTGCTGGATCCTGCTGCCGTGGCGAGGTTTTCCTCCCCGGCTGCGGGATGAGGCCGCTGGGTGCGGGGTTATCCAAGCGGTCATCCCGCATCCTGCATCCCGACAGGATGAGTGCTGAGCATCCTCGGTACCCAGCCCCCTTCCCACCTCCTGCCAGCTCCCCAAAAACTCCGGGCTCGTCCGCCAGCACCCCCAGAGCCGCCGGCAGCCAGGGGTTGCCTTCCCTTTTAAATCCCCAGTCCTGTGTCCATCCATCCCTGCTGCCTTCCCAGCCTTCCTCCTCCTCCTCCTCCTGGCCCACACGCACCCTCCAGCCCCTCTCTCTCTCTCTCTCTCCGGTTTTCTTTGGGCCAACACAACCCGACATCCCTCGCCGTGTCCCACCTCCATCCATCGCCTTCCCTGCATGTTATCCGGGACTTTGCCATGTTATAGAGTGATTTTTTAAGACTGAACCGCAGCCTGATGGGGTTACAGCCACCAGCCAGCCACCCCCCCGCGGCCCCACCGCTCGGCGGCCGGCCGCAGCCTTGCCATTGAAAAACAAACAAAAATTAAAATATATATATATATATAAAAATAAGAAGCTAAAGAGACCAATTAAAAAAAAAATATATAATTAAAAAAAAATCTAAGCAAAGCAAACGGGATTAGCCGAGGGGTCTGGATCACCGTACTAAAGAGTCCTTGTCTTTTTCCCATTCTGCCCTCCAAATGTGGAGATTATTGTTTTCTTTTTTTATTATTGCATTCCTGTCACTGCCAATTCCAAAGGTAGGTATTTTGTCCACCTCTGCACGTTCACTTCTGCAGATGAGCCTGTTGAAAAGCACCGTAGCTTGATTTAATGTTATTTTCTCTTTCTTTCTGACTTTCTTTCTCCTTCTTTCTCACTCTCCTTCTCTGTCTCTCATTTTGTCTCTTTTTGGTGGCTATATATAATTTTTTTTTTTTATTTGTATGGTTTTCCCCAGTTAGCTGCAAAGCCATGCTCTTCTCTTACGTTCCTTATTTTTATATATTTTTTTTTTGCCCTGTCCACGTAATATTTTTTTCTTTCTTCCCCCCTTTTCTCTTCCCCGTCTCCTCGTGCTGTCGGTAGAATGCATTTCTGTGTCTTTCAGCCCTCCGAATTTGTGTTCGTTTCCATTCAGGGGCCGAGCACGGCTGTTCCCTTTCAGTCCCCCATTAGTGGCTGGGTAATGAAGGCAGATATACTTAGGGAGAAATAGGGGCAGTGACCACAGATAGAAATGGGCACAGGGGGTTTTGGGGTGGATGGATGGGGCAAGAAATGAGAAATCTGGGGAGATGTGTGGGTTTAGCCCCTATTCAGGGGGGAAAAACCCCAGCTCAGGGAAAATACTGAGGGAGGCTGCAGTAGGGAAAGGTTTAAATTTTCCTGCGTGGAGAGAGGCAGGTCCAGGACATCCTGCGAGGGGCAGGGGACAGCATCCCTGCGCTGGCTGTCCCATCCCCACAGCGCCCAGTGTGTGTTTTCCCTCTTAGGCTGAGTCTTTGGCAATTTGGGTTTATTTGGGATGCTTTTATCTTTGTTCCCTTCCTGCACGCCAGGGCAGGAGACTCCAGGGTTTGGGTGGGAACCCTGCATCCCACACCCTGAGCCCACAGCATGGCCAGCCAGTGCCAAAATGCCACTCTGGGAAAGAGGACCTCCCTCTCTTTCTCTCTTCATCATTCTCTTCTTCTTCATCATCTTCTCTGCTTTAATGTTCCTCTCCTGGGATGCAGGGCTGGGCATGGGCTCTCCTGATCCCCTGTTCCGAGGCTGCTGCATCCCCCTGGAGCAGATCCGTGTCCCCCGGCGCTTGCAGGGCAGCTGGGCAGGGCTGATCGTCACTGCCAGCCTCCCCCTCGCTGCAGCCATCGCAACAGCAACTGGTTTTTAATAAAAACCCCAATTTCCCCCCATTTTGCCTGCTCTGTGGCTGGAGGGATTGGCTTTTCCATGGGGACAAGGAGTTGATGGGGTGTGGAGCAGTCTGGGATGCTCGGGGACATGGAAGCCTCGCATCCCTTTTGCAGCATCTTTGTGGTGGCCCCCACAATGCCAGCCCTTCACCCTGCCCTTTCTTTTTGGGGGAAGAAAAGTGGCATTGAGAACACAGTTGGATGGGTGGAGAGACCCTCAGCCTCGAGGATTCACACTGACCATTCACTGGTGTATTTGGGGCAAGGGGATGGCAAGGAACTGGGGTCACCAGCCCTGGGTTTGGTGGCACAATCCTGGCAGCACCCCAATATCCCTGAACCCCCTGTGATCCCCTCAGCTGGGCTCAGCGATGCCCTGTGCAGGATTCACCCTCCCAGGGGTTCTCAGGGACCTGGCACTGGGCTGTGGCTGGGGGGAAGGAGACCCCAAAGCCCCCTCTGAGCTGAGGTTTGCCAGCTTGTTCAGGACTGGTGTTGCAGGAGCCGTTTCCAGCCATCTTTTTGCTCTCGTGGTGTTTGCAGATGGGGGGAACACCCAGGCGGCGTTTGTGGCTCAGAGGAGCTCAGATATTTGGGAGCCTCAGGGCTGGGCAAAATCCCTTGAGGTCTCAGTGAGAGCCTGGCTCAGGGCTTGGCCACGGTGGTGGCCCAAGGTTTCCCCTCCCTGTAGGAGAAGTGAGTTGGTTTGTTTTATTTCTCCTCTCTCTGGCTCTGTCTCTGTCTCTCCTCCTTCTCTCGCTCTTTCTTTCTCTCTTGCATTTTTGTGAATCTAATGATGCACTTATATTGCCCCGCTTTTCCCTTCTCTTCATACCTTACCTACTAAAGGAGGAAATGCCACTTTTTTGGTAAGTGGATGTTAACCAAGAGGGACTTAAAAAAAAAAAAAAAAAAAAAGCATATAATGGAAAAAAATAAAAAAAAAAAAAAGGAAGCAGAAAGCAAAGTCTGTGTTGAGTGCTGATGAGGACTTAGCAGTTCCCTGCAGAGTCACAGCTAACAGCTCAATGCGTGTCCCAGGAAGAGCTCAGAGACATTCGTTTATCTCAGTAACGAGGACATTTGTGAAGTTTTGCTTTGTTTTTTATTTATTTCTTTATATTATTATTATTTTTTTTTAATTTGATTTGATTTGGATGGTTTTTCTTCTTTCTTTTTCGTTGGTTTCTTTTATGCCTTCTCGCCCCCCCCCCGGCCC